AAGAGCAGGTTACGAATCTAGCGTTGCAGGCCATCGTGAAATACGTTGACATGCCTTGCGCCAGATTGCAGTCAACGCGCTTACTCCACGCGATGTACGTGGCGGTGAAGACGGAGCCACTTTCCAAGCACGATTCCAGGCTGCCTGGAACAGAGCAGCTCAGCCTGCTTTTGGACGACACTGACATAACGTTTTGGGGTTTAAAATACTCGTTAGTTTTACAAACTATGGCCACGGAGTTGCTTGTGTGACGCGGGCAATGGGTGGGAAAGCCCCCACCTAGCTGAATCGTCATCTACTTATTTGCCCAATCAATCTGACCTCATCCACCTGGCCCAACGTGGAGCCTGCACCAAGTAGACAGATGCCCTGGGTAGGTGGGTGAGCACATTGATAGGGAACCTGCAGCGCAAAAACCTGGGTTACAGGGACTTACACAGGATTTTTGTAGGAATTGAAACCATTATCACCATAGGGACCGTGAGGTCCAGTTAGATTGCCAGACCAAAAAGTGCTCGCCAGTAAGTGTGGTTGGGTGATCAGGTCCCAAACTGTGGCAAGGGCCTTGGCATTCAAGGCAAGATTCCAGCAGAGCCCGTAGGATGTGGTACTCCTTAGGCTGGACCAGAGCAGGTTGTAACCCATCCAATGCACAAAATTGTTAGATAGAGAGCGCCAACAAGCAGGCTAGAAGATGGTCGCGTCAATGACACTCTGGCAGTGTGTGGTTCCAAGGAGGGGGGCACAGTGGTTGCTGGAGTGTTGTGGGCTGTTCGATGGGGTTGTTGGAGTCTAATAGAAGGAGGCTAAGGGGGCACTGGGAGTGGGCTTGTGCCAGGGGCAGGAGGGAGATCCTGTTTGCGTGTTGGAAGTGTTGTCGTACGGATGTTTGAGTGCATGGTATAGATGTGTTGAGTGTGTTGAGAATAAGAGGCAAGTGTATGGCCTGTTGTCAAGGGTGAGAACAAAGGCATCCTCCCTGATAGGGTTGGGTGTGATTCGGAAGGGAGTGATCCCCAAGATGGCTGCATGCTCAAGGTGACTTCGCTTATGTCGCTTCTCTCGTGTCTGCGTTAACACGCTAGCTCATGTAGTACTTACAAGGGATCGTAGATCTGGCTTCCCGCGGGAGACTATAAAGTGTGATAGAGTAGGTTGCGGTAGCAATCCTACTCACTCCACGATCCAAAAATGGAACGCGTGGAAGATTCGTCTAGCATTTATCTAGTAGCGTGGAATCTCTCCACGCCAGCTAAATATCTAGCGCGATGTTTCACCATCGACCTAGTATGACTAGCGGTCATGAGAACCCTGTCTCAATGACTATTCATGAAAGACTCAGTCATGAGTCGAACTCAAACCCTATCTAGGATCGAGTCGCGAATAAGGCTAAGAGCCGTGTATTGCACTCCTCTAGATTGGCCAACTTTTGCAGATGAATATAAACATCATCGCCTCTGAATATAGCATCTGAGAATGAGTTAGAACCAAGACTATCCTCCAAGACCTTTGCCAGAATCGTCGGCTGCATCTGTTTAACATCGAGTGATACGACAGGCTGACCATGAAAACGAAGATTGAATCTTAGACCCCCCTTCAGGTTCACCACTGGACTGTGTATCCGACCAGAAAATGCATCAACTGAGAAGAAGGACTCTAGCTGTTTGTGACGGTGTTCGAGAAAAGCCTTGAAATATACAGACATTTTCGTTGTGTCAACATCCTTCAACTCCACATGAACGAGCTGTCCTCGCATCCAAGTATGTAACGCGGTCAGTTCGGTAACGCGTCTATCAGACCGTTTAGCCAACTGTAACAAAGCAGGATTGATGGGTCCGTTCCGAAGAACGCGGAAATTTGCTTTAGAGTCAAACCACAACTCGCCCCGATCCTTCAGGCGCTGAAGCAGACCTTCATGGTGACAACCAAGTTTTTTAAGGTCGTAAATGTAAACTTTAACAGTGTTATAGTCCTTTAAATCTTTCAACCTATGCCGGAAGACACCTTTAGTTCGAACAAAGGTAGTCAGAAGATGCTCCATATTTTTTTTTTGTCTCTCTTACCATGGATCCTTCAAAGGATCGAAAAGGAACTGAAATACCAAACCCCTCAATTCATCAGGGATGATAGAAGGTAAAGGTACCAAACGTCAAAATATTCTAAAACCTCCGCAGCCTCCTCTGTGTCCGGTCGTCCGACGACCGCCACAGACATCGTAGTTGAACGACGTTGAAATACAGACCAAGGAACAAGTCTACTAAAGTAAGAGTTTGTAGGAAACGTTGAAGCAACATCTTTTTTATAAGCTTATGAGACTAATCGTCTAGAATAATAAGATCGTCACGACATCCGGTGTGGAATGTAACGGCAATCGTCTTGACCTCCATCGTATCGGCTCTGCAATAAGGACATGCCCCGTTGTTATCCAACAAAAGATCGCATTGGTCAGCACACGAAACACAGAGGACATGGTGACATGCCAAAACAACCACTTTGGCACCCTCATTAAACACAACAAATCGCGTCTTTCATGGTGACAACATTCATGTTGAGAAAATAATGAGCGAAAATAATGAGCAAAACATCAATGAATGAAACTCGGCAGCATCTTTCAGTTGGGAAGTAACACGAACCCTATTTAACGAAAGTGCTTGGGGAAGTAACACGAACCATATTTAATGAAAGTGCTTGGGGAAGTAACACGAACCTTATTTAACGAAAGTGTAGGAAAGTAACACGGACCCTATATAATAACATAACACGAACCCTATAACCGTTTCCCCGGTTAGCTTGTTAGGCTAACGCCTAACAAGGTAACGTGAACCAAGCAGTTTTCATTTAACGCAACCGTCCCCCAGTTAGCCTGTTAGGCTAACGTAAGCAATTTTTATTTAACGCAATTGCCCCCGGTTAGTAACGCGAACCAAGCAGTTTCCATTTAACCAGATGTCAATTGCACCGGTACCCACGTACGTGAAGTTTCCCTCCGCCCAACAAGATAAGATCATAATCTCTGATCAAACGACAACCAGCACCAGACCATCAGAGGTAACCACAACCATAAAAATAATCATGGAAGTACACGAAGTTGGAATCAAAGCAACAGCGGATGGGTCGATGGTCCTAAGTAAGATATGCTTCGTGACATCCAGTCTCTCGTTTGCAGAAGTCAATGATAAACTCATCAAAACCGACAAGATTCTTGGGCAACCGACAATCAACAAAAGATCTATTGTACGAAGGCTTAGCGGCCCTTGCGCGGCTCTTAGACCTTCCATTGAAGGTCATTCACTCATAACCCTAACTCGTAACCTTATTAACCAATAACCCCCCCTAACCTTAATAGCCCCCCCTATAAAGTCACAAAAAAACTTAACTAAAAAATGAACTGCAATCCTAACAAATTCCGCCAATGCGGTTCCAGATGTGTATCGTGGCTGCGTAGCTGTAACGTTGAAGGGTTCGAATCGAATGCAGATCCAAGTAAATACAACGCAACCTGTGCAAGAACGAATGGTCCGAAAGGACCGAGAAAGGAACCCAAATGTCAACCCATTAAATCCAGACGGTGTGGGAAAGCGTGTTTAAGTTGGAAGAAGAATTGTCGTAAACCCGGGTATGAATCGTCAGCCAGACAGACAGGCGCAAACTGTCTAAGACCTGCAAGACAGAGAACAAATAACGACGACGGTGCGTCGGCTGCTACAGAATTAAGGAATTTGAAGAGGAGATGGATCAACGCTCGAACTGGTGAATTAAAACCAGGATCGCCTTATACTCAAGCCCAATGGAACGCGAAAGTAAGAACGCTGCAGCAGAGGATGACACCAGATGAACCAGTGAGTTCGAGTTCAACAGGTGTCATCTAGCAAGTCATAGAAAGTCGTCTAGAAAGTCATAGTAAAGTGGTGTTAAATCTCACACAATCTAGTAAGGTTATGGTTATAGTTGCCAGCCTAATGCCTGGATGGCGAGGGCCCGTAACTCACGGTATACGGTTCGGGTGTTACTCTTGAGTAGTTTACGTTTGCGTCCTTTAGAATAGAGGATATCAAGGGCCGTCCCCACCGTTAGATCATCGATGTCGAAATATTCAGCTAGGTCGTTGAAATGTTCAATGGCTTGATTGCTATTGGAGTCGACGGCAAGTAAGAAGAAACATTTGATTCTCTTTGGTTCACTCACATAGACCGCCCCCAGGACGGCAGGTTTCGTCAAGATGGATCTCATTGTCTTGATGTCATCATTTTCGGGGTTATGAAGGGTGAAGAGCCCATGGCCAAGGCTGGTATCGTTGGGAACCTCCATGGCTCAATCTCTGAAATGTGAGCACATCGAAGACCGCTTTCCCCATTTAACGTAATCGTGTCAATTTCACCGGTACCCATGTTGAAGTGATAACGCGACCTTCGAGCATCTTAGATCGTCAAGATCGCTGTCCTCCGAGCATCTAGATCGTCACTCTCACTGGTATAGGTATCTAACCGCTAACCGCCCACACCGTTAGACGGTTAGAAAGCAAGCCGAGACCTCAACCCAGACTCGTCCTGACAGACCAGCCAGACCATCGGACTCTAGCAAAAGAGAGGTGATAATCTGTACCGTACTCGTGCCGTACGGGTACGGATACCAGTTACGACTGCATGTCTGTGACGAATGCATGCTATGGCATCACCAATGGCACTTCATTCTCGATACTACAATTGCATGTACTCACCTATGATACTCATCAGCAGGCAGAGCTAGCCCCAGCTGGCTGGCTAGCTACTAGTAGTATCTACCGGTAGTACCAGTTCTCATCAGCAGTATGTAGAACTACGGTAGATACCGTACGGTAGATGGATGGGTTGAGCGGTGGAGGTATATCAACGTTGTGTGACCTGTCACACAGTAGAAGAATCACCCCGCTGCTGCCCTTGCATTTAGACGGTTGAGCCATCATCAACTGACGTAGCTTCGGTACAATCGTTCGCGAAAACAACAGTTCCATCGCCAAGTTCAATGAATCACGAAGATAACATTGCCCACTCCTGCTCAACGCTCACAGGTGACACGAAGTCGGCCACAAAAGCAAAATTATTGCGACCAACATTTTTGAGCTGCCACTCGCTTTCGAAGCCACCTTTATCATCACCTTAGCACCGAATAGCCAAACCTAGTCCGTCTTATCTTAGCTCTGGAAAGATAGTCCCTTTTGTGTTGATCGGGTGATAGAAGATGGGTTTGTTCAGCAAGAAGAGCAAGAATTCGGAGCAAAAGAGTACAACTGTTCCGAAGAAAACGTTGTCGCCAGTTTCATCGTCGACGAACAGTCGATACGTGTCGCCCACTCTCGAGAAAATTCCATCAGATCTCTCGAAGAACCAAGTTCCTAGCTCTCCTCGTGCAACTCGTCAAACTACGTCTTCTTCGTTGAGAGCTCTGCCACCTTCACCGAATCGTATTCAGTCGCCTTACGCTCAAAAGGACGAAGCAGACCCCGAGATGATGTCGGTAGAGAAGGAGGACAAACCATCCGTGACAGAAGATATTGTGGCGGCTTCTACATCTGAAAGTCACACTGATGAGGAGGAGGATGAAGAGATGGTAATGGTTCGTCCTCGTAATGGCGAAAGTGAGAAACGCGACGACGACGTCTCTGATGTTAACCCGGTCGACACTGGCGACGAACAGTCAGAAATGGTCTATGGTACCAGCAAGAACAACTCCAGCCACCTTAACAGTCTCTTCAATGGTCACTTGATGAAATGGAAGTTTGACGCTGAAGAAGGACCTGGGTACATTCGTATCCCAGCTTTCCTGTCTGGCCTTGGCCTCATTGGTACCACCACAGCTGCCTTGGTTCTCTATCCCGTTACTTGGACAATCAGTTCCATTGTGATCTCGGTCTTTGTCTACATCATTGCCATTGCGGTAGTTGTTTTGGATGGTCGATTCTTGTCCTACAGTCCTCTGAGCATCCGGGCACATTTGCGAAACGTCATCACGCGCCACTTTGGAATCTTCCGCTACCTCTGGGGTCGTGGTATCTTGTACTTGGCCGGTGCCGTCTTGAGTGCTTCTTTGATGATTCACATGACCATGATCAGTGGTGCTGTCATGTTTTTGGTCAGCGTGTTGGCGATCTTTGTGGGCTCGTACTCTTCGCGAAAGTTTGCAGCTCTACGTCATTCGCTTTCGGACGAGTCCTTCTTGTTGCTTGAATTCAGCAATGTCGACTATGACGACGACGGTTACATCAACCCATCTGAGTTTGCATCTCTGTTGACTTCGCTTGGTATGGAATTGGACGACAGGTACTGCTTGAAGGCTTTCAACAGTATGGATACGGACCACGACCGCAGAATCTCCTTCGAGGAGTTCTGCCACTGGTGGTCCCAAGGGTACATTGAACGCGGGCGAAAACCGGCGGCAGATGGCGACGAGGAATCGTATCATCGCTTTGTGTAACTCACGCGAGACCAAGTTTGAGCGAAAACGAGAGAGAGAGAGAGAGAGAGCACAAACGTAAGAGATTGCGAGACTTGTGTGTCCCTCAGACAGTGCCCAAGCGATTGAGAAGAGAGAAAGGAGCGAAGACTCGATCTGACGTACATCTGAGGCGGCGTGCTGGTGTACTAATGGCGGGCGGGCCACTTTCGCTTTCTTTTCCCCTTTCGGTCTCTCTCATCCTTCACGGATGCTTTGCTTTGATGATGCCGCATCCGTTGCCAGTTTAAAATGCATGTTCTGTTTTGTTTTCCGTTGTTTCGAGAAAGAAGACACGGGCAAGATCCGATCGAGTATATACGGTGTACTTGTACTTACGATCCTATCGCTAGCCATGTCTATCCTTCCTACGTATCCTATATATGCCATCAATTAGGAAAAATAGAAGCTATCCATGACTACTTTTCATTTCTTTACCACAAATACTTCCCCCCTCTTGCTTGCCACACAGCCGAAGTCGGCCTCATACAAACCGTATCACGTATTGGATTCTCGCATCACATTGGATCGTCATGTGTCTAGCTTGCACTGGAAAAGATAGTGTGGGTATTGCTGATGTTGACATTGGCGGGGAACTACCCACATGTAGGATGGCCAAGGGTCGACCACATGACTTTCCATCTCCGTTAGAACTGGTCTTATTGCTCTGCCTGCCAAAGCATCAAGCACTCACAGATCTTGCTTCAAATTTGGCCTCCCATGATACCCCAGGTTTCATGTTGCTGGACAAATCAAGAGGCACGACGACGACGACCACCACCATTGTTGTGAGCTTTCTAGGCTGCCTTGTATCTGCCAGTTTCAGAGTACCAGTAAGTTTCCTCGCATCCAAGTCTTGAGAACATGAATGCAAGCCTTCGTATTGTCATCTACAGCACCAAGAGTACTCAGTCTTCTCTGCCGTGTTCTGGTTGCCTTGAAGAACAAGACAATACAATACATTTGGAGACAGATGTCATCTGGAGAGTGCGTGGACCTTGTTGTGGATGCAGCATGCGCGGTCCTCTCTAATGCATGGGAGTGAATTGGCAGAAACCCCTGCGTCGCCTCACAAAGGCCAACCTTTCCCCTTCTACCAAACAGGATGTCAACTTTGTGGGGACCGTAACTGCTCCTAGTAGAGGAAGCCAACTAGCTTCGATATTTTTGCAGGATGCCTTCATCGTCTCCCCGCCCCCTGTCCCCAATCTATACACCTGCCCCATTCATACCACTAAGATAAATCTGACCTATCGATGACTATGTACTCCTTATGGCGAATACATACATGTTTACATACTTGCCAAGCGACAACACGAGAGACGGTCCGCGCAAAAACGCAGACGTTGATGGCGAAGATTTTGTGTTCCTCTCCGTTGATTCCATTGTCATTGAATGAAAGTGCGATGTGTACGGAACACAACAAGAACCTGGACGCGATCCAATTCAACCGATCCTCTACATTATTTATAAAGTAGGTGTGAAGCACAATCAAACAAACAAACAAACAAAAGCATCCTTGAATCAACGAATCAATTTTATTCTTCCGATTCTGCCTTTTCCTTTCTCTTTTTGAAGGCATCTGATTCCATCATGATATTGTGCATGGCCATGTTTTGCGTGCCTCGATTGACGGTTTCCTTCTGGATGGAATCAATCATTTCTTTGGTTCGGGGGATGTGCACTCGTTCGAAACTGGATCGAATGTCAATTTCGACGTCTTCAATGATGGTCCCAATATTTTCGAGATGATTGGAATCCAAGAAAACCGAGTTAATTTTGAGTGTTTGGGTAGTATTTCGTGACACTGAAGCACTAATCTTGACCTTGTTGGTGTCCGCGTACTCGCTGGCGCTAGTGTGGAGAGCAATCACGACGGTAGATTGTACATGGTAGGTACATTCGGTACAGTCCGAATTGGGTAGATCCACGACGACCAAGTGAGCAGAGTCCCAAGAACCAGTACTGCCAGTTTTGTGAATTCCAAACATTCCTTGATAGGTTCCTTTGTCGACCTTTTGTAGGTAGACAGATCCGATGGCCGTCATGCCGTAGTACAAGTGCGCGTAAGCTTCCCACACTTCGTTGGCGCATTCTTCCATGTTACGGATTTCTTCTTCCTTTTCGGATAATTCAAGCGCAATATTTCCAGGCCAACAGACATTGGTCCACGGAGACCGATAGACGCCTTCCTTGATCTTGTTGTAGGGACACTTGAGGAATGGCTTTTCGCCCTTTTCTCCCTCATCGTCTACCCCAAACGGTAGCTGCAGCCGTTGTCGGACGGCTTCAATCGTCTCGGCATCATGAGTACCAGCCAAAGACTCTAATGCCTTTAATGTCGTCTCCAACTCGGACGGAGGCGTCTTGCGCAGGATATTCAAGGCCGCTTCCATGGTCAAGCGCTTTTCTTTGGTCAGTTCGATCGGTGGCAGTGTGTATCGAGCGAACTGCGGGGTGAACTCCAAAAAAAAGATCGCGGATCTGGAAATACAGTGTTAGGGTTAAAGCTTGCCAACCTAGAAGGCAGTCGCCACCACCGCGATTTTCCCGCCTTCGCGTCATTCGATACTGGTCGTAATGTACAAGGTAGCTACCTAGCATACAATGTCATGAAGTGGCTTGAAGTGGATATAGGGAGCTAAGCATAATCTGGATATGGTACAATAGCTATCCTTGATTTGATAGCTAGACGATCTATAGTACTACTTTCTATTTGATGACCAACTCTGGAGAAGCACACTCTTGCTCTCGATTGTCTCGTCCTCCCACCGGAGAATTTGCCAATGCATCCAAATCCAAATGATCCTCATCGTCGTCGCTGCTGCTATTCTGATTCTTCTCCTCGTCATCACTGCTCTCTAGCATGTTTTTGGAAGCGTCACTGTCTTCTCCGCCATTACCCCGTGAACGACGACCTCCCGACCGGCGAGAGTCCAAAGGTCGTTGCCGCTGTGAAGTAGATCGTCTTGCACGGCGTCGAGGAGGTGAATCCCTCCCCGATTGGCTGGAGGATGCCACCACAGACGCAAACAAGGGGGCGATGTTGTTGATGGTGGTTTCATCATT